AAAGTATCAGCTGGAAGACTCGAATAAACAGAAGGGAAATTCCTAGACACCGATGACAAGGGAGACAAAACTGGAGAACCAGATGATGATGCCGAGACTGATGATGGAGCTGGCAGCGCCTCTAGTTGCTCCAAATGAAAGAGGCGACCATGCTTACTGCCCCGGCCTACCTCCCGCCCCGTCTTCAGATCCTGTACAGAACAACCAGAAGGTGCGAAAACCACACGGCAGCCATTATCAGTAAGTTGACCCACAGAGACAAGACTAGGAACAAGATGCGGAACATGTAACGTATCAGGAAGAACAATATCAGAATGGTGCACCGAGCCAATAGTATCAACACTAAGGTGCTCGCCATTGGCCACTTGGAGAGACAAATTCCGAACCGGACGAGCATGAGTAAGAACAGATGCATCACTAGTCATATGGTTAAAACAAGCAGAGTCGAGTATCCATCGTCGAGGAAGTTTACCTGAGGCCTGAAGACTAGCAAATGCAGAGGCGATGGCTTTGGTAACCATATCCTCAAGGGCAGCCGAGGAGACGCTAGATGGAGAAGGTGCGGGCTGAGCTGCGTAGGCTGGTCGAGTGGAGGCGGTCGGATTGGTGCTGCCGAATGAAGGATTGGACCCATTAGAGCCATTCATACGACTCTGCAGGACACGGCAGTCAGGAATTATGTGACCTGACTTCTTGCAATAGACACAGAAGTTCCGACGACGACAATACTTCTGCGTATGACCCTTTTCCCGACAGTGATGGCACTCGACATCACGTCGCTGCGCAGGGGAACGATAAGCAGCATAGGCGGAGTCATTCTCATGGAGTGAATCATCTGGAGGCCCAGCCAAGGGAACAGACCGAGCTGGCGCTGCTGGGGCGGAAGACGGAACGGAACCGCGAAGCCCACCAGAGGAGTCTCGGTTGGCCAAAAAAACAGAAGTCTCTCCAGCGGAGGGACGGACATCAAGGGCAGCTTGAGTTCTAAGCCGTGTCTCCTCTCGGACCAAGGCACTGAGGACGCCTTCAATTTTCAGATCCTCCCGATTAAGGAGCGTGGAGCGGACGGATTCAAATTCTGGGCGCAGGCGAGCAAGGAACTGTAGGAGGCAAATTTTGGTGCGTTGATGCTGCATCTCGGCCGACGCTGGGGCAGGGAGAAGCGCCGCGGTGAGAAGGTCTTGCTCGGTCCAGAGCTGCCGAGCAGAATTGAAGTACGTCGTGACGTCCATGTCACCCTGCTGAAGCGCGGACAGCTCGATTTCAAGCTCGAACTGGCGGGCGGTGCTGACGGCGCCGTATGTCTCGGCCAGCGACGCCCACATCTCCGCGGCGGTAGTCTTCAATCGGAGTCCAAGAACGATCGTCGGGTCAACCGATTTCAACAGCCAAGACTTGACCTTGGCGTCGTTCTTCAGCCAGGAGGTGAGCTCCTGATTAGTAGAGGGAGGTACAGCAGGCCTTTGCGAAGAGCCATCAAGCAAACCAAACAAACCTTGACCTTCAACGAAAATCCGGAACTGAAACTCCCAGAGCACATAGTTCTTGGAGTTGAGACGGGTCGTAACGTGTTCGGAATCCATTGCAGTAAGCTCTGATACCATGTTAATCGAAACAGGAACGGAAGATAATCGACACAGAGTTTACGTGGTTTCCTCGTTCAGGGAGAACGAGACTAGTCCACGGTCGAAGCAGTTATCGTCTTATTCAGATACTTGTTACAGAGTACATAGGTAAATATATATAGGGTTACTAAACCCTAGCCGAGTCCTCTAGGGTCATGGAGAGCTCTCGGCAATAAGGCCTAATACTACTACATATATTTGGGCTGAGCCCCATATCTCAACATACCCACGTTTGAAGAACCGTCCTCCACGTCCTGAGACTCAATCTAGCTCTGATACCATGTCATTAAATACATCTGAACTCCTATAAACTACTTGCTGGAAAACTAGCATCTTCTCTCTACTTGCCCACTACCCTGAAGATCCGCCACTCTCCTACTAAACCCTTAACAGAACTTGACTCAGCAAGCTTACACGTTTGCCTGCTATAACTTATCTATGCTAACCCTTAAAAGACGACGAACTTAACTAAACTACTTGAGCACACACACAATATTTGTTCCATATTCTAACATAGCCTCCCCTAAACTGAAAACAGCGTTTCAGGTTTTCAGTTTAACCATTAACAACGCTGCATAGCTCTTCAAAATTCCTTGATCATGATATAAAGTACCTGACACTTCACATTAATCCTGTGGTACCACTCCTTCACCAAAGCCTTGCATAATAAATGGTTGGACCTGTTATGTAAAACTAGATTTCTTGAAAATCTGATAGTTGAGTAGTCATCACCCTTTTTGGTTCCACCAATAACACACATCAACTAACCCATTTGCTTCAATATCCCTCTCACCCAAATGTACTTTTCTTCAAAATAAGTGGTTGCTACTAACTCAGTGCCAATGATGATGAACAAAATAATCAGTAAATGCTCATTGGAAGTCCTGGGTACTGCTCCTGCTAATCGATATACATGACCATTTACATGTCTCCTTTTATCCATATTAGCAGCATAGTGGTGGTTGGTACAACCTTCCAAGCATGTTTCTTGAGTCCCCCTTTTGTAACCAATATCACAGCCAAGAATATCCTTGAAGTACAACAAGTTTTCAACCAATTTCTTGCAATAGGTATCCAACTGCACATCATCCCCAGCTGCTGTAACTTTTGCTCCAAGAATCATCGGATTCTTAACAAGGCTTCCGTGATCAAATCAGTTGCAAAACCTGCTGCAAAATTTATCAAGCCAGCTGCAATTAAACACTTATTAGCTCTCGGTGCCTGCAACAACTCATACATAGGCTTATTGAACTTGTAACCCTTATCCACAAGCCCTTGTGATTGTTCTATCAAAGCCATAAAACCCAGAATCTCAGGCTTAACTTGCCGCTGCTCACATTGAGTTGTATTCCCTTCTAGCATAACTCCATTTCCTTGTAAAATATACTCGGCACCCGGTATGATAGGGTGTTTAATCAACTTACTTTCCAGAAGCTCTAACATATCAAGTAACTCCTTGATATCCTTTTGCCAACAAGTGAATACCACTTTGTGACTTTGAAATATTTTCCTTATGAAGAATATTTCAAATGGCCTATGACTATCAGTTTCTGTACCATCCACACATAAACTAACTATCAACCAATATGACCTTTGCCTTTTAACAAACAGACTACGAAATTCAAAAGCTAGAGAGTACCTCATGATCTTGTTGTTCCGTGATCTTGAAACCAGCTTCAAGCTATTCAAAACTCTCCTCAGTCTGTGCATTGTAACTTCCTCCCCTGCAACCACAAAGTCTTGTGGTTTCTCTGCACAGAAAGCATCATGCTTTTTGAGTTTAGTCCTTGATGCCCATTCAATCTCAATTGTGTTAGCTCCTGGTGGTAAGTGTGCCAATTTCCAATTATCACTCTCAACAATATACTGCCACTTCAATCTTACCAATTCACTCTCGTTAGCCTCCTTAACTCTTTTCTCAAAGTACTGAAAGTCTTCAACAGACACAATCATTGTACACCAGCAAGACAACCAATTTTTCTTTTGTCCAAATGCCACCTTCTAAATCTTGGCCTCAAATCACCTGTAAGAAGTCCTGAAACATCGGTTGAACCATGGTCTTCATATTTATAATATGAGTTCCTTGAAGAATGATCTTGGTACTCATCAATCATAATTGTTGTTGCTGATACAGCAGCTATGGTGATTTCATGTCTAGTTGATGATGTTCCTGCGTTTGCAAGTTCTCCAGCTGATATATCTTATGCTTCAAACTTTGATAACTCACAATCATTACATTCAACTGCAGAAGTCTCCTCCAAATTTGATAATCTTTGTAGTATAACTTTATTTTGTGAATTGACCATCAAGGTTGCCAAGGAGCAATCAGATGCTATAATTTTTTCTGGGCCTTCCAATGCTTCAAGCTGAGTTTCTTTAAATAAATCCCACACTTCATGTATGCAACCTTTCCATAACAATTCGTTTGAGACTTCTGAATCCAATGACCATTCATATTTCTCATGCTCCCCTCCTGCTGCTACCACTTGCGTTATTGTAACTTCTGATTGTGAATTTGTTTCTGGTTTTTCCTGAATGGGAGCGTTTCTGCACATTTCAGACCCATCACTCTCAGCTTCATAAGTTTGAATTCACAAGCAATTCACATCAATGGGTGTTTGTGATACAACCAACTCAGAACGTAACCCAAACATTTTATTGAGTTTCATCCTTGTCTGTAATAGGAAAACTTTCTTATGATGAAAGATCTTGCAAACCCCACCCTTGATAACAAAAATTAGACCTTTTTCTTGCATTTCACCTATGCTCAACAAGTTAGTTTTTAAACCTGGTACATAGTATACATTCTGAACCACTAGTGACAGCTTCTTTACCCTCAGCTTGATGCATCCTCTCCCTGCAACTTCCATCTTGGTTCCATTCCCAAACTTAACAGTACAAGAGAAGTTATTATCAAAGTTGGTGAACCATTCTTTGTTACCACCCATGAGGTTACTACACGTCAAGTCCAAAACCCACCAACCCTCACTCTTCTTCTTATTCGTCAATTGGACTTGAGACTCTCCTTTCTCTTCATTTTCAGTACAAGCCATTAACAAAATATTCTCCTTCATGTCTTCATAGGTGCCATTGTCATAATTTGCAGGTGTATTAGAGAAATGTCTCTGCTCATTGGTCCAGTCTGGACACTTGTTTCTATAGTGTCCCATCCGATGACATCGATAGCATTCAACATATTCTAGATTTCAGGTTCTTCTACTTCTCCCTTGAAATCCACCTTGATCATGACTTCTTCCATCAACTTCACTAGCTGGTCTTAGTGCATGCTCATCCTTGGTTGCCCTTTTTCTGAGTTTTTGCTCATGGACCAGCAAACAACTTTGGAGTTCATCAACTGACAGCTTGTCTATGTCCTTAGATTCTTCTATAGAACACACTATGGTTTCCGCTCGTTGATGCACCAACAAGATCCTCTCCCTCCGGCTCCGTCCCCCATGCTCCGTCGTGGGATAAGTCTCGGATGGTGGCTTTCTCTGTTCTTCGAGCAACTCCAGGCTTGTCGCCGCAACTCTCCATCTCCTTCCACAAGCTTGGCACTCCGAAGGGATCGACGGAGAAAACGACGAACCTCCTCACCTTCCCTGCGAAGACGACTGCCATCCACCCCTTCCCGCCGAAGACGACATCGAAGAATCTGAGGTCTCTCTCTCTCTCTCTCTCTCTCTCTCTCTCTCTCTCTCACACGACATCGAAGAATCTGGATTTCTTTCATGTGGTATGAGTACCAATGTACTGGTATGTCTATCACTAGAGTGGTATAAATTATTGATTTTGGCATAGAAGTGTACCACTCCAGTGATAGTTGATTTGACAAAGTGTAATGTGTATGTCTATCACTAAAGGTATATGTTGTTGATTCTGGCACGAAAGTGTACCACTCGAGTGATAATTGATTCTAGGGTAATGTAGTGTTATTTCTATGACTCCAGTCTATGACTGCATTGATAGCTGCCCGCGTGAATGTTATTGTATTTCTACCACTAGTGTGGTATTTGGTTTACCATTATGATTATAATTGCACCAATGATTTATATCACGGCAGTGATAGTGGTCTTACTTATTGATGTCATGTAATGTTACCACTGCAATGGTAATTGTACCCCTCTGAGTTTCTGTTAAACATTATCAGAGGTAAGCTTTAATTCTAGTGGTAATTGTACCAGTGAAGTGATATGTCTTACCAGTGCAGTGGTACTTTTTTGCAGGTGCTCGGAGGGAGTCAACAGGTGCAAAGATGTATTGGTAATTCTACCACTGAATTATACCACTGCAGTGATAGTTATCTTACTTGTCAAACTCGTATTTCTATCACTGCATTGGTAGTGCTGATTTTTGTCTGCGGGAACGGCCAGGACAAGGAGATCATATCTTTGAGTGCCTAAAGGGAAGATGCATGAAAGCTATGTTCCTTGCCATGTAGAAGTTGGGGAAGGTTAGGATCATTCCTCGAGTGCGGTACTAACAAAAAGCAACGCCGTGAGATTCGGGATAATGGACAACAAGATAGGGGGAAGAGGAAACGTATTGATGATGTTAGTGTCAAGAAGTGCAGCCCCAACTTTATAATTCAAATTATTTTTTCCGTCGTACTACCCAAGTGATCTAGTCATCCTTCGACACCTGATTTACCATTGTTTAGACTTCCCTCAAACAATTTCTTAGTGATTTCATATTTATTTGTTACATTGGTTGGATATTTTATTGTTGTTGGCATTTTCCTTTTTTATAACACATTCTACTTCACGGTTAGTGGTGATACTGAGGGGAAGTTGTTGGTTTGTTTATGTATCAAATTGGTTGTACATGTATCTATACAGTGGTACATGTATCAGTTCAGTGATACACCTATTAGTGCAATGGTATGTGTATCAGCTCACTGGCATATCTACAAGTTTAGTGATACATGTATCATTTCAATGGTACCACTCCAAAGTATATTTAACACTGCAATGGGAACATTTAGGATGAGTTTCGATTTTGCTAATGGTACAAGTACAATATATCTAACGTTGCAAGCTAAGTGGGTGGTCACATTTTGGTGTGGAAAGTATGACTTGAATAATTGCACTTGTATTTGTATCAGGTCAGTGGTACATATACCACTTTAGTGATACATGTATCAGTTCAATGGTATATGTACCAGATCAGTGGTACATCTTCACGGCAATGTCGCTGTCTACTAGAAGTTGTAGGTTTGCACTTCACGACAACGAGTGGTAAGAAATGAGTCATCGCCGCCCTCCATGTTTTTCTTTATCTCCGGCGAGTTCTCCCTCGGTAGCCAGTAGTCCATCCGGCGGGCGGGAGGCGAGTCCGTTCCCATTTCCAACTCCCTGTCATTTGATGCCGACACAGGAGCCGCCGTCTTGGCATGCCCAGAACCACCGCACGGAATCTTATATTCGTCTTCCCTCCCACGTGGCCTTCGTCGGCTCGATCTCCGGTGATATCCCTTGTGTCTCGTCTTCCGGCGGCGAGCAACCCACCAAGTGGGTTGGAGGGGATCCCACTGCGGTGATGCCCGATGATTTCCGGCAATCATCGAGTTATGCAGAGGAAAGGGTTGGGTTTCTATTTTTTTCGGGAGGAAAGACGGGGAATATGGGAGCTCAATCGATTTTCCCCCATCCAACGTGATTTACTCATTCCCCATGAAAACGTGATTAATATGGGAACTTGCCCCATTTACAAAATTCTGGAGAAAAATAAAAAAACTCCGTCCATTAATACTTACCTTAAGATTCAGGATGGAATGGATTTTAAGGAGATTTAAGTTGGGTGAACAATTCGTCCAAGACGAAATTAATTAGAAAAAGGTCGATTTTTGAAGGGATTATTAATAGAAAAAATTTAAAAGAGGTTAAGGGATCTTTGGAAAGAGGTTCAAGGATTGGATTTTGAGGAGAGGGTGTTCTGTAAATCAAAAGGGGTTTTAAAGCGAGAAAGGTCGTCTAAAAATGAATTTTTGATTTATAGGTTTTCCCGAGATAGTTGAGCGAAGGAGGGATTTCTTCGAGTAAGGAATCTGGTAGTCATCTTTTTGAGGCGAGTGTAAAGGGGGTAAAATCTTTGTCGATATCCTTTAGGTTATTTCTTTTATCTCAAGTTATATTCGTTAATTTATGAGTTATGTGTGTTTACTTATTTGAGTTATCCCACCGCCTACTAAAGGTGGAGGCACGCGTTGTGCTTATTTGTGTGAATGAATGTGTGTGTTGATATATGTGGAGGTTGGTATTGAAGTAAGAGAACCCCCGGGCGGTTGGATCACTACTGGACGCAGTAGATGATCGGATCACTACTGGACGGCGAGACGTAACACAGTAGTTTACCGGACATGGTGCTGGATGCCGACACGTTACGCAATATTATTGCTTTTAAGGTAGGGACACCGGACGGCGAGACGTAACGCGATGGTCTCTAGTATTATGTGTTTGAATTAAGGATAGGAGTAGAGAACTCCTATAAGTTAATTAGAGAATGGATATAAATGGTGAAAGCAAGAACGACTTTCACATAAGAAGGAAAATTCTAATAACGTTTATATTAAGGGAATGCTTAAGGTAAAGAACATAGGTAGTAGTAACGACGAGACTGACCCCTTCTCAGTCACCAAGTGTAGAGAGGGGAAGAGGGCGTGACCATCAAGAGGAGGCCATCCAAGGAGAGCAGTCGCGACAACTTTGAGGATGTCGGAAGGTTCAGGATAACGGAATGGACCCATGTTATATATGTCTTTATTTCATATCTTTCTAAGTATACTGGAAACTCAAGGATGATGTCTTAAGTGTTTTGGATTGAGGATAACGAGATGAGACCCTTGTTTCCAGTTAAGATTTAATGCTAATTTTAATTTATTTATTTTATTTAATGATTTTCGTTAGAGGTACTTTGAATCTGCAACTTTTGACATTTGGAAAAGGTTAGGGTGCTAACACTTTTTGTATTAGCATGGTCCTAACACTAGCTCCAACCAATACGGACATTTCTTTTAGATAACTTTTTAATTTAAACGAGTTGACCACAATTAATAAAAGGAATGGGAAGGAGTAGCACACTTGGTATTATGAAAAATTGGGGTAAGGAGTTTTTCACGTGTGTCTTGTGCAATTAAATGGGAATGGTTGGAGTACCACAAAATCCACACCACAAGTTCATTGAAACAGACCACAAGTTTATTAAAGCAGACCACAAAATTTATGAAACTAACCACAAATTTATTAAAGCAACCCACAAATTTCATAAAATATACCACAAGCCTAATATAACATACCACTTTATTATTTAAAAAAATTATTATAATTAGCTTCCCTAAAACTAATCCCTGCCTCGGTTCTTCTTTTCCTTCTCCCAACAGACCATATATAATTGCCTTGCACTTGCTTGATCTCAAAGAGAGCGGTTCCGAGGGAGCATCCGATGACTAAGTGGGGTGTTTAGTCACTTGATTAAGCCACTCCCGTCTTTTAGATCGGTACACACCAATCTGACGGTTAAAGAGTGAGAATAATTTTTTAATTAATGACAATGGTAGTTTGGGAATTATGGAAAATTACGAAATATACAAACCGGACTTACAAACAGTACAAACCATACAAACTAGAGCGACAAAACATACAAACTAATTTACAAACAATATGAAACATACGAACTATACAAACAATACAAACTAGACCGACAAATATTACAAAACATACTTACTGTACAGAATGTCACTACTTACGATACAAAAAAATATACTTGTATTACAAATCAATGAATACAAAGTATACAAATCACAACATAAAGAATACAAACTAGACAAACAAACATTACAAATTACAACATATAAAAAAATGTCATATAAACATTACAAAGATAATAGATAAAAATGATAACCCGAATTGATACAAAATTACAAACCAGACCTACAAACATTATAAAATAGCCTGACAAACATAGCAAAATGGTGTTGTCGTCGGCAAACCCTGTCGTCGGAAAATCCTCTCCCCCACCGCTGTAAAATCCTCTCTGCCACCGCTGGGACGAAAGGGCCGGAGTTGGGCAACGGTAGGGAGGAACGCCGGAAAATCCCGAGCCGGCGTCGGCGATCAGATGTAAATGGACTTCGGGGAGGGATACGCACTAGCCGCATATTTTTATTTCAATTTCCAAATTAATAAATTGTATAAAAGTAATAGCATGCCCTTCATTAAATTGGATTAATTTGAGCCATTGATATTTAATGAGGTACAAGGGTTCAGATTCACTTAGTCATGTGACCAAGGGACCCCATTAGTCACGTGATCTTAGCCGAGTGGTTCCATAAATCCTCCTCGACAACTCCCTATCGACTCTTTTCAGGACTCTACTCTGTCGCTCCGCGAAATCCGGCTGACTTCTCCTACTTGCTGCTGGAGATTCCATCAGTAGCTCACCCGAAGCATTAGCAAAGCTCATTCCGGGCGCTAATAAATGGATATGGCATAGCAACAAATGGATGGCAAAACTGAGAGGTTAGAAACGCCGGGTTCGTAAAGAGAGAGACTATTTATCCTCTCAGACGTGGGATTTATACTAGTCGGCAGCTGTAGCAACATTGAGAGGGAAGGGGAGGGGGATCAAAGAGTTTCAGTCGGGAAGGGGTGGGGAAATAAGATAGTTACTAATATACCCTTATAATAAGTGTTAGTAAAGTAGTTTTCCTTTCCTTTCATGTTTGGTTTGTAATTAGTCTGTTCTGTTCATTTGCCAAGTTTTTTAGGGATGTATGTTTGTGTGACTCATCGTATGATGAATAAAGCCCACCATTCATCCAAAAAATAAGTGTTAGTAGGGTGTTAGCACCCTATCCGCTCCCTTCGACATTGAAGGGCAACGTTTGCGAATTGGGATGCATTTTCATGATGCTTATTACTTTTATTCTCCCAAGTTGCTTTATTTTTATTATTTTTAATTATATTTTATATAAATTGAATAGTTACTGTTTCACATTCCTCAATGATAATTATTGGGGCTTGCTATTTGCCGCCAACCAAATTGCTATTTACCGCCAACCAAAAAAAAAAAAAGTATATATATGCATCTTTGGTTAAGGAGTTTCACAAGCTACAACATATCCAACTTTCAGAGAACGTATTTAATCAGAAAAATTCAACGCTCGCCGGAAAAGTCGCCTGAAAAGTCGCCGGAAAATCATCGATGAAAAAAAATGTATATATATACATCTTTGGTTAAGGAGTTTCACAATCTACAACATATCCAACTTTCAGAGAACGTATTGAATCAGAAAAATTCAACGCTCGCCGGAAAATCATCGGGAAAGCCTATCCTCGACATATAATGCGTACACGCATCCATGAATCATCACTAACCATCAGACAATGTGGGCAAAGTGCTACACGAACCATGTGTTTCAAACCCTAAACCCTAAGTGAACCCTGAACCCTAAACCCTTTGTTGATGTGACTTGAATCGGACTATCAGCCGCTACGACTGGTAATCGGGGGTCTTACCGTGTATGGGCTCAATGTTATTTGGGTTCGGGTTCTGGGCCTGGTCTGCAACCGTTTCCTTTGTCATATTGGATTAGGTTTAGACCCACATGGAGAAGTACTATAAATACTTCGTGTTAGTGAACCACGTAAATCGTGTGTCGTGTTGCAATGCTCTATTTATATGTTGTTGTTTTTCTAGTTGTATTTTTAATGACCCTAGTGTCATTATGAACTTATGAATTTCATTATGGATTTCTAGCGAGTTCGGGGTCGATTGGACGAAGATCGGGCGCGAGGCAAGTCAATCGTCGGTCGCCGACACCGTTCTTCCGTCGTCGGCTAACCTCCCGTCGCCCTCAATCGTCGGAAAACAAGTAAGTTTACTTTTTCCGGCCAGTTTTCCAGTTTTCCGGTAAGTTTTCCAGTTTTCCGGCGAAAAACACGGAGGGCCGAAAAAAAATTGCGGCCCGAACGTCGCCGAGCCAAAAAAAATTTGTGGCCGGGACGACGGCCGGCCGAAAAATTCTTTCGGCCCAGCGACGCCACGGTCGCAAATTTTTTTCGGCCGGCCGACGAACACGCCGCCGGAAAATTTTTGGCCGGCGTGTTCGGCGACCGGCCGAAAAAAATTCTTTCGGCCCGACGTCGCTCCGGCCGCAAATTTTTTTCGGCCGGCCGACGAACACGCCGCCGGAAAATTTTTGGCCGGCGTGTTCGGCGACCGGCCGAAAAAAATTTGCGGCCGTGGCGTCGCCGGGCCAAAAGAATTTTTCGGCCGGCCGTCGTCCCGGCCACAAATTTTTTTCGGCTCGGCGACGTTCGGGCCGCAATTTTTTTTCGGCCCGCCGTGTTTTTTGCCGGAAAAAGTAAACTTACTTGTTTTCCGACGATTGAGGGCGACGGGAGGTTAGCCGGCGACGGAAGAACGGTTCCGGCGACGGAGGCACTGGGAAGGAAGGGAAAATTCAAAATTAAATTTTTTTTTTTTTACCGGCGACGGAGGCACTGGGAAGGAAGAGAAAATTCAAATTTTGAATTCCTTTTTTTTTTTAGTTGGCGGCAAATAGCAATTTGATTGGCGGCAAATAGCCGTTCACTAATTATATGTTTCCTCCATAATTTTTAATTTTTAATTATAATTTTACAAACTTTTAATTTTCTCTTCCTTACCAATTGCAAACGTTATTTGCAAAATAGAGTCACAATGATGATTATGTTATTAGTGGTGGCTCTACATTCTTAACTTCTCCCTTAACTTGCTGGTTAAGCTTTCCGAGGAGGTTCGAATGCCCATATTTTATGACTGTTCCAGATCGCTATTGTGTGCCTATGATGCATATATCATTGAGATCCTTGCAATGAGTGATGCTCTTTGATAGTGTGTTTTTCATTATGTAACTGAGTTTCTATTCTTTGGTTTTTTGCGGCTGATCATCCATACGATTAATCACAAGGATTCAACAC